TTAGCATTCAAGCACCCATTAGAATCTCAGCTGTTCAAAGAGATTTCTAGGCCTTATACTTCTGGAGACTGACTGTTGAGAAATATAAGCTAAGGGATCTGAAGCTACAGGGATAAGAAATGAGAGTTTGTTTCACTTTTCACAGATTTCTGTCCCCACAGCTGGTCATACCATTAGGCAGAGTGAGGCAACTGCCTCAGGCAGCAGATGCAGGAAAGTCATAGTGCTCCTCAGCTCTTGCTCCTGAGCTCCCTGACTATACCCTTTGGTTGGAGGCTAGCACTGTGTGCCAGGCACCTGGCCCTCCACCGCTATCTACCTACCTACTGATCTCTCTCAATGGCAAGGCTGTGTCCCATTGCTAGTACTGAAGTAGGATTCACTACTATAGGTGAATTGGGTGCATGTGGGTGCCATTTTGTCCTTTGCCTCAGGCAGCAAAATGTCTTGGCTTATTATATGTTCTGCCCTCTTCCTAACAGTCTGGGAGCAGCTTCTATGTGACGCAGTTTCACACTGCAAGGGTTCCCATATGAATAATGCAACAACATGGGGTAATCATGGAAGTCTTTTCCAGGAAGAACTGGTTAGCACTCCTGGTGGAATGTGAGAAAGACCACAAATATCCCAACCCAAAGGGTTGTGTTAGTCATGCATATAGCTCTGTGGTACATGAAACAATGTCTTAAATGACTGTGAGAACACATGAAAGTGGCCATTTCTGCCATCTCTCTTGATTTGTATCTCACGTCAAATTGCTCTTGATTGACACATCTCATGGAATAATAATTGACATTTGCAGAATGTGTGGATTTTGCATAATATTTTTTGGGGGGAAGTTTGTAGAACAAGACATTCCATTTTTACAAAATGCTAGGTTCTTAAAAATCTGAATTAATGGTCCTGCTTATAAGACAAGCAAATGTACACATTCTGAACCAATTAAGGGTTGATGTGCACCAGATTAGTGACATTTACGTAGCTTGTGTATCAGTATGGGCCAGGAACTTGGATGCTCTACCTGGAGTTAGTAAACCATCTTATATCCCTACTTAGCTATGAAGCTCATTGGGTGGGCTTGGGCAATTTGCTCTCTCTTAGCCTATGAGAGGATGTTTGTGAAAGCTGGGTTTTTGCGGAGCTGCCATGACACTCAGCAACAGCTTGCTGGGTGCTGTGGAGTGCTTCTGCCAGGAAGAGACTCAGAACCTTCTTTCAGCCAGTTAAGCACATAAGCACACATTTGCTTGGCTTCCCCTCTACCTCTGCCCAGTTCTGTGCTGGATAACCACTTTGTGTGATGCCAATACAGTGCATCTTGTGAAGGTGACTGTTCCATATTTGAGGACATTGGCTTTGTTGTTTTGATCCAGTGTGTGCTAGATTTGTTTGGAACATTGGCACACAATGGATAAAACTGCAGTCATCAAACCACTTTTTTTAAAATGAAAGTGTCTCTAAAACAGTATCCCCCAAGCAGTGCTATATAACCCAGTGTTAGAGCATCTGCTTTGCATGCAGAAGGTTCTAGGTTCGATCCCTGGCAACTCCAGGTACAGCTGGGAGAGACTCCTGCCTGAAATCCACAGCTGTATCACGGTACGTTGCATGTACTGCACAAGGTGATAACATGAGGTTCTTCAGCCATCCTTTTGCATAGCTTGGCATCTTCTGTGCACTCTGGGAGTGGTGGCAGCAAGCAAATAATTGGTGAGGAGAAGCAGAATGTCTCATGGGTTGCAATCTGTGTTCCCATGTTAGTTTTTACATCTGGTGTGCCTCTGCTGTTTTGAATAGAACCATGTGGCTACATTCCTGGCAACCTTAGCTGTGATTATATCTAATTATTTTCAAATGTTTTAAAAACAATTTTGTATTGTTCTGCTGTTCTGCTGTGAAAATTAGTATGTCTTTTTCCTTATTAGCCTACCATGGAAGCAAACGAATTTTCAAGACACCTTGTGCATTAAAAGCCAAGGTAATGGCAATTGGTAACCATAAAACAAGGCAAAATTTTAAGCATATACTAGCTCCATGAGATCAGAGAGGATCAAAAGTGAGCATATTCTTAAACTAAAGATATGAAGATATCCCTTTTATTTGCACTCACTTTTTTCCCCTTGGGATACAGTTGTTGAAAATATCTGTCCAGATTCAGAGACAGCTTCTGAAACAGCCTCACAATACAAATCATTTCACAAATTAACAGATTCACTGCAACTCCCCACCCCTCACTAAAAACCAGAAGCTGAATCAGGTTTGAGATGCTTCTCATGAGGAGATGAGGATCTTCAACTGGGTGTCAAGGGAAAAAGAAGGTTAACAATAGTTCAGAGACACTCGGCCAGGTTATGTTATGTTTTCTACACTAGGAATGTCAGGGTGAAATTCGTGATTGGATTTTGCTCCATATTCTTCTCACTGTCATTTAAGGGTTATGACACACCATCAGCATAGTGTCAACAATGGAAGAAATCTTCTCCAGCCACTCAGTCATGGCTTTGTTGTGATAGCAGCATCACCAAAACAGAGCTTAGCAAATAAATGTCCATGACCCACAAAGCGTTATATTATTCCCCTCTGCTAAAAAAAAAAAAGAACTTAGCTTTGAAAAGGCACTGGGGAAGAAACCAGCCCACAGTCAGTATTCTTGTTTTCTTATATAAAACAGCCCATAGTTTCTAACAGAGAGCAACGTATATAGGGAGGGACGTAGTGTTGTGTTTGTCCCACATGTATTCAGTGAGAGGACTGGGATCTTTTGTGTGGAGTCAGTATGTGCATTCGCTAAAACTATGTGTATACTCTTTACCCTTATGTATAAGAAAGAAGTTCACACACCAGTGAAATACAGAAAGTTTGGTTTATTTCACGGAAATAAATGAGACAGAATATATTGATGCTGTGTCAGACATCAAGGTTACACATTTGTAGGCAGGAAATCAAACAGTGCATACACACCTTAATTATAAGAGAGAGTCCCTAACTTCCCAAACCTGAAGAGTAAACATGAAAATCTGTCACAGTACCCACACTAAAAAGAGAAGAAAATAAGGAAGGTTAGAGGTATACCTGTTTTAAAAGCAAGTGGAGCACAAAGGGAACTGTGCCACCCATGAGAATTAAGCACTCCTGTTCAGAATCCTATGTCAGCAAGGCAATGGCATCTCTCACCTGTTTCTTGGTCCGTAGCCCAGCAAAGTCCAGGTGTGATCCTTGAGATCACAAAGGGGGCTTGTTAGAGGTGTGAGCTACCTGGCTGTTGAACGTCTGGGGTTTGAACACAATTTTGAGCCAACTAAACTCTATGGAGATGGGAGGAGGGCTTCCTGAGTGACTGAATAAGGTGGCATCTGAAGCCTTTGAAGCATTGTTTATTTCCTACAAGTTTACCATTTTGCTTACTAAGATACGTTTGAAGCTGAGGGAACTTGACTTTAGTTTGGAGTAACCAAATGGTTCTTCATCATCATCAATTTCTTGTACCCTACACATCTGACTGGGTTGTGCCAGCCACTCTGGGCCGATTCCAACAAAAATACAGGGAGGGAAAACCACCAACATTAAATATTAAAAACTTCCCCAAACAGAGCTGCCTTCAGATGTTTACAAAAAAAATTCTAGTTGCTTAATTGTTTGACATCTGCCAAGAGGGCATTCCACAGGGCGGGCGGCACTACTGAGAAGGCCCTCTGCCTGGTTCCCTGTAACCTCACTTTTCGCAGAGAGGGAACTGCCAGAAGGCCCTCGAAGCTAGACCTCAGTGTTCAGGCCGAGTGGTAGGGGTGGAGACGCTCCTTCAGGTATACAGGCCGAGGTTGTTTAGGGCTTTAAGGGTCAGCAACAACACTGAACTATGTTCAGAATGTACTGGGAGCCAATGCAGAGCTTTTAGGACCAGCGTTACGTGGTTATGCCACTCCCAGTCACCAGTCTGGCAGCCACATTCTGAATTAATTGCAGTTTCCTAGTAGTCCCACAGAGTGCCTGGCGTGCTCTGGTCCATGGGGTCACGAAGAGTCAGACACAACTAAACGACTAAACAACAAAAGTAGCCCCACATAGAGCGCATTGCAGTAATCCAAGTGGGAAATGACCAGAGCATGTACCACTCTGGCCAAGAAGGTAGGGTCTCAGCCAGTGTACCAGATGGACCTGCACCTCCCTGGAGAGCTGCGAGTCTATAATAACCTCCAGTCTATCCACCTGGTAATATGTAGCACAGTTACCCCATTCAGGACCAGGGAATCCCCACACCTTCCTGTCCCCCAGGGATTCTGTCTTGTTCGGATTCAACCTTGATCCATTAACCACCCTCCAACCACTTCCAGACACTCACACAGGACATTCACTGTCATCACTGGTTCCAATTTAAATGAGAGGTAGAGGTGAGTGCCATTCACATACTGATGAACACTCAAAGCCCTGAGGCTCCCTACAAGTGATTCATCCCCCAACACCACTTTCTGGACACGGCCCAGGAGGAAGGAGCTGTATAGCAGTGCCCCCAGCTCCAAACTCCTGTAGACGGTCCAGAAGGATCAATGGTATCAAAAGCCGCTGAGAGATCCAACAGAACCAGTAAACAGTTTTCACCTCTGTCCCTAGCCCACCAGAGATCATTGAACAGTGTGACCAAGGCAGTTTTGGTCCTATGATGGGGCCTGAATCCCGATTGGAAGGGGTCCAAATGGTCCACATCCTCCAGGTATGCCTGTATTTGTTCAGCGACCACCCACACAATCACTTACATTTCCCGGATAATAAAGTTACTTTTGAAAGAAGATTTAATTGTCAAGTCTAAGCATAACATAGCTTGAGAGACTGCCTTCTCCCTATCCCTTATGTTATCATACACACAGTAATGGTCATATTGTTCTGCAGGAAACCTTTCTCCACATCAGAAGCCCACTCCACAGTAAGTCTAAGCAGCATATGATAGAGTTATGACAGGCACCCACTAGCTGCACTTTCCAGAAACAACAGAAGATATTTCTTTATTTAACAAGCACTTCCAGCTGCATGAAAATGTGTTCATTTTGAGGTGGTGTTGATGGTGATGGTAATTTCACAAGTCTCTGTTAGGATAACAATAAAAAGTAGTGTCAGAATAGTTGCAAACTTTTGCTTGGTACCCTCAGAATTCTTCACCCCCTCCTACCCAACCAGGCTCTCACAATCACATTCAAACCATCCTTTCCCTTCCTTCCGTCCCTCCCTCCCACCCTCCATTCCACCCTCCATACCTGGCTGCAGACATCAGTGGCAGAAGTGGGAGTTCTCTCCTGGCTTTGATGTCCAGCACACGTCTGTGTAACTGCCAGGCACAAGCAGACCTGAGAAATTAAGTTTTCCAAAGAGCTAGTACAGCCAAGGACTAAGGGACCTCTCACTGCTCCCATGGCTGTTGGAGCTGGCAGCTAAATGGAGGTTGGATGGAAGACTCAACTAAGGGCTTATCTGCACTTGGAGGAAGGGTTGCACTAATGACATAATCAGGGGGCATGATGGGGTCCAGTTTGGCCGAAAATTGGTGTCAGAATAAACAGAGAATGTGACAAGTTTGGGGAAACAGTTCTGTTTTCTAAAATTGCCCAAGTCATTGAAGCTAGATCAGCCCTGGGCTAATCTAGAAACACATTATTCCCATTCAGTGAACCAATGCCCAGAGTTAGTCCTCTAGATTTTTGCCTGTACCTGTCTAGGTGTGTTTTAAGGGCTGTCCCATAACATTTATGTTTAGGATTTTTACAACATGGACAAATGTAATGCTGCATTTCAGGAATGATGTTCTTTAGTTGGACAATTACTCAGTTCTTCAGAGAGAAAGTATATCAATCAGTAGAGAACTAGAACTGCCTTGCTTAATCTCACTTTTGCTTAACAATGCCTAGGGAGCGTCAGGAAGTAGATGGATCACAAAGGAGATGGTTGGGTCCCTCTTTTGTCATTCTTCTTTTCTTGTCTATATGAGTCTTTTCCCCTTGCTGGTAGTCAGTGAACCTAAGGATCAAAAAGTGCTTGCTTTTTAGTGTTCCTCAGATTATCAACAAAAGCTATCAAAGCAAAGCATAAAATCTCAGGCTCCCAGAGACTTCTGAAGGTGAAAAACAGCATCTAAAATGAAAATAATGTCCTTGAAGATTTATTTTAATCAAACATTTTCAGCTCTGACTGGGAGGTTTAGAGGCTGATCCTGCCGATTGCCTAGTGCTCTTATCTCTTAGAGCGGGGGTCGGCAACCTGCGGCTCCAGAGCCGCATGCGGCTCTTTAAAGCCTTTGCTGCGGCTCCGGGGCGGTGGCGAGGGGAGGAGGCGAGGGGCGGAGGTGACCAGCATGCCGCCCGGCGGGCGGGGCGCCGTAAAGCAGAGCGCCCCCTCGCCAGGCAGACATCCGCAGCGTGGGGAGCCTTGCCGGAGGTCCCGGCAAGGCTTCCCACGCTGCGGATAGCAGCCTGCCGCCCAGAGCGGGGCGCCCTAAATCAGAGCGCCCCCCTCGCCAGGCAGACATCCACAGCGTGGGGAGCCTTGCCGGACTTCCCGGCAAGGCTCCCCACGCTGCGGATAGCAGCCTGCCGCCCCGCAGGCATCGGCCAGCCCCACAAGCTCGGGGGACAGCAGGGAGGCGCAGCGCCGACATCCCGCTGTTCCTCGACCTGGTTCGGTTTCCCCGACCTGCTTTTGGGGGGGAAATAAAGGGAAATTTTTTTCCCTTTATTTCCCCCCCCAAAAAACTAGGTGCGTCCTATGGGACGGAGCGTCCTATGGGGTATTTTTATAATGACGAATGCCTCATTATTAATTATTATTTACATCAGGCACTGATTATGATTTATGGTACACTGGGGTCCTGATTAATTTTCTATGGCATTTTGGGGCATTGATTATTGGGCATAGCAAGTCGCGGTCGCGTGGAATTTGTGCTTTGTGACCGTTTGAAGTGGGGTTTTTTTCTTGGGAGGCTGGGCGGCACGAAGAGAGGGATTATTTTTATAATGACGAGGATGACATTGGGCCCTCATTATTAATTATTATTTACATCAGGCACTGATTATGATTTATGGTTCACTGGGGCCCTGGTTAATTTTCTTTGGCATTTTGTGGCATTGATTATGCAGTCGCGGTCGCGTGGAATTCCACGTGGAGTTAGTTGCCTGAAGCCCCTTTTTAGTTGCTTGAAGCCCCTTTTTAAACTTAAGCAGGTGAAAGTTTGGTGAATTGCTGCCAAGGAGTGTGGTGGAGTCTCCTTCTTTGGAGGTCTTTAAGCAGAGGCTTGACAACCATATGTCAGGAGTGCTCTGATGGTGTTTCCTGCTTGGCAGGGGGTTGGACTCGATGGCCCTTGTGGTCTCTTCCACATATGTATGTGAGCAGGTCTTCTCCAACATGAACTATATTAAAAACAAGCACCGATCACGCCTCACAGATGACAGCTTGCAAGCCTGTGTGAAAATGAAGGTGACGTCTTACAGCCCTGATGTGCAGACACTGAGCACTGAGGTTCAGGAGCAAAAGTCCCATTAACCTGGTTACCTGGTTGTAAATTAAATATTTTAATTAGCTATTAATTTGTCCTTTTTTCTTGAGATTGACAGCTGACTGCACGATCCTGTATATATAGCATTAAGGCCAGAAACAATATATGTAGTGTTATATTTGTTTTAAATGTTGCAATGTTTTTGCGGCTCCCAGTTGTTTTTTTTTCGGAAACGGGTCCAAGTGGCTCTTTTTGTCTTAAAGGTTGCAGACCCCTGTCTTAGAGAATGAGAATCTGTCGGAGCTCAGGGACTTCTAGAATTGAGTCCTTCACCCTCCATTGATTTATACACATATACATGCATGTACACACACATGCACACACACAGTTTTCAGATACATTGGAAACAGGCTAAATTTGTCCACAGCTTTTATTCACCTTTTTGTATAGCATTGTTGCCTACTTTAAGATAATCAGTTTGTAAAGCAGTTTAGGAGAACACTTCCTTCGTAATGAACTCCAGCATATGAATCAATGAAATTGCTAATATCATAATGCTGTTTTACAAATATATGGTGCAATTGCATTTGGAATTCTGTCTGGCCTGGCCACTGCATCTAACAAAAGGATATTTTAGTGCCGCAAACTGTGTAGAAAAGCACAGCCAAAATGATCAGAAGGCTGGAACAACTCTCATGTGAGGAAAGGTTACACCTTGAGCTTTTCAGCTTAGGAAAAAGATGAGTAAGGAAAGACAAAGATACATAAAATTATTCACAGTGTGAAGAAAGATGATGGAGAGAGTTTCTTTCCCCTCTCTCATCAGACTAGAACCTCAGGTCATCCAATGAAGCTGAACGGTGGGAATTTTGAGACAAACAAAACTAAGTACTTGTCCACAAAGTGAATGGAATTTGTTGCCACATGATGTAATGATAACCACCAACGTGAATAGTTTTAAAAGGGAATTACACAAATTTATGAAGAATGTGACTGTCAATGGCTGCTACTTATGATGGCTCTATATTACCTCCAGCATCAGAGACTGGTTTCTAAAGAACATGAATGGGAGAGTGTGATTGTGCTCATATGCTGCTTGTGGGGTTCCAAGAGGCTAGCTACTGCGGCAACAGGGTGCTGGATTACATTTAGACAGGCCTTTGGACTGATCCAGCAGGTCTCTTCTTGGATTCTTATGACTCCCTTGTTTCAAAGCAGAAACTAAGTGTCAGCTTTGCAGATATGAAGCTGCAAAAGAGAAAAATGGAGGAAAACTCATGTTGAATCCAGATGTGCAACCACCTTCTTATATTTAGGGTCTGTGTATGACTGGGGTACCAAGTTGCATGGGTGGCCCAACTGCACAGACACATGGCTCACATGGCAGAATTCTTCTGCAGACAGCAATGCACAGCGATAGTGGTGGAGGGACTTAAAGCATGGTTCCACTCCACTGTCAACATGGATATGTCCTACATGTGAATAATGCGTGGAAAAGACCAATATTAAAGCAGATACAAACTCCACACATAAAGAGGGACTACTGCTCAAGGTTTGCATGCAGAAAATCCTGGGTTCAATCCCTAGCATCAACAGCTTTAAAAAATTGTAGGGCTAAAAAGAAACCTTGTTTCAGGCTCTAGAATACTTCTGCCAGTTGCGGTAGGCAATAGTGGACTAAATGGACAAATGGTTTAACTACATATAAGACAACTATATCAATTCAGTTCTTTGGCTAGGAGCACCATAATTCAGAGAAAAATCTGTCTCCTAGTTCAAATTCTGATTTGTACTGATTGCAGATCACTTCATTCAGTATTCAGATTGCTTCATTCAATACTATCAAATGTTCACTTGCATATATTTGCATATCTGTATTTTATTTCAGTTGCATAACATCATGGCATTTGTAGTCTGAGGGCTGTTAGTCTTAGGCATGGATGTTTTGCAAAACTGCCATCTCTAAAAGGTTAAAGCTATTGTGTGGAAATAATGATAGTAATGGATAGATAGCAAAGAGGTCTTAATAGTGAAAATACAGATGATTTGGCAAGGAAAAGTTGAAGCAGGTTTGTTGAAATCATGATATATTTCAGAATGGTTGCCAGATTTGGGGGAGCCAATACCAGGAATTCCTGCTCCCCAACTTGGTTTTACCAAATCATTTTACAGATACATCAGCACATTTACTGGGGAAGAAACCCCACTGAACTCACTGGTGCTTTCTTCCAATTAGACATGCATAGGATTGCATTCCTCCACATGAAAGCTTTGCCATGGTTGTCTCTTAAACCTTTGGGTTTAAGAATAAAGCATCTTTGGGTTATTTATTTTGCTATTTCTCAAAATAACTGACAAATCAAAACAACCCATTTCAATATGAAATTTCTTCAGAATCATTGTTTTTATCTAGCCAGCCCTAGTCCGAGAATATGCAACCTCCTGGTGTAGAAAGTGTCAGGGGACTGCCATCGGAAGAGGGGAGGGAGGCAGGGGAATACAGAGGGCCTCCAACGCTTCTGAGGAGCAGCTCCTCGTGGGGAAAGCCACACCTCCAGTGGAGAAGAGAGGGAAGGGGCCAGCCAAGCGAGGAGAGGGCTGGAAGATGCTGCTGAGAGCCCAAGCGCCTCACCTAGCCCGTCTGGCCAGGAGGCACAGACGCCACTTCCATCACCCAGCCTGCACTCGCGAGCAACCACCAGCAGCACCTGACAGAAAGGTTTTACTCAGCGGCTTAATAGTTATAGGCTCCTCTTTTGCATATGAGTTGGAAAATAGGCCAAAATGCCTTGTTCTAAAACATGACAGGGCCACAGACAAGATTCTGTGAAAAATGAAACAAAGTGTGAAGTCATTAATTTTTCAAATAAGTGAACCGATATCTCAGTCTAATTCAATGACATTAATGTGGTAGCTCTAAGATTTATTCATTAGTCATATTGCTCATAATGTGGCAGCCTTCTGAGTGAATTAAGAGAGCAGAATTATTATTGGATATAGGTATTGTGTGTGTGTGTGTGTGTGTGTGTGTGTGTGTGTGTGTTGGGGTGGGGAGAAATAATTATTCTAACACAGCCACACAGTTACAAGCTACACATGGCAGCTCCACCCCATTAGTTTGTAAGCTAAGCACATGCGCCAGAAGCTGAACCTGTGGTTCCGCACGTACTGAGTTTGGGATTATGAATGAAGCCTCTAGATCAGATTCCCCAGCCCTAAAGTGTAAACATACATGTTCTCGCAATAGCAGTCCTTGCTCAGTATGAGACGAATCACATTTGCTGTATGTGTTGCAGTTAAACTGAGTTTAGCATATGCTTAGGTGGAAGAACTTGGCTTTCCTTACTGTTCTATTGCTCATTCCTGTCTTTATGCCTGTAATTTATCCAGGCCATTGATTTTTTTCAATTGAAACTGCTATAATTGCCTATGGAAACAGATGTGCATGTGTGCGCGCACACTCTCAACACATGTAAACCAACACTCTGGAGCCATGGTGCAAAGCTCCCCATTTCCCAGAGTTGTCAACTTTTTTTCCGGGAGGACGGTGCTGCCGGCGGGGCTAGAGGAGGCGGGCAGCGTCCAGCCTCCGTCTCTTCCCTGGTGCCCCCCAGAACTTGGCGCCCTGGCTCCCTGCACCACTAGCCTCTATGGGTAAGATGCCCCTGTATAAGATAATATTCTAAGCTGAACTAAAAAATGTTTGCAGTTTCAGGCAAGCAGAGGGGAGGTAACATAATGTATAAGTTCCAGGCCTAGTGCCAGTACCTGGCACCTTCATGAAGTTCTCTGATATAGCCAGTGGCGTAGCGTGGGGGGTGCAGGGGGGGCCGGCCGCACCGGGCGCAACATCTGGGGGGGCGCGCACACTAATCTAGTGGAAGAGACTCGAGTGCTAAAATCCACGGGTTAGGGGGCACAAATTACTTGCCTTGCCCCGGGTGCTGACAACCCACGCTACACCACTGGATATAACAACTGTCAATCTGAGCCTTTAAAATATGCTAACTACCAAGATATGTATATAGAGGTTCTGGCTTCCATTCTTCTGAAGTAGTGGGCGAATAACTTAATTTGTCTTCATAATTTAAATTCATTTAAAATACTCTCCATGAAGAGATGGTCTCTTCCCCCTCCCATGCTCAGTAACAGATTTTCATATTTTTTAAAGAAGAAAATACAATAATAATGATTGGGATCATAAGAGGTTTCCTCCCTTTTGTGTTATACTAAAAAGGCTGTGATATTGCCCCAAAGTTGTTGGTCTGTTTGACAGCAGAACTATTCTGGGTACAGCTGCCTGCAATTAAAACAATTATGCAGATCACATGTCTTTCTAGTTAAATTCGTGCTGGGCTTGTTTTTCCAGGAGGGCCTCTGTTAGTCTGGGCAGATAATGAAAGGAATTAAGAAGCGCAGGAGATATATGGAACCCCTCCTGAACAGGTCCTACCCGTAGCAGAAAGGTAGATGAAGAGCTGTAGCTCAGTGGTAAAACCCATGTTTTGCATGCAGAAGGTCCTCAAGTAACACTAGGAAAGACATCTGCCTGAACTCCTGGAGTACCACTGCCAGTCAGTGTAAAAAATACAGAGCTAAATGGACGAATGATCTGATTCCATCTATGGCAACTTCCTATGTTCCTAGCATCACTGTAGTGTTCCTACAACCTTCTTCACAGTTCCCATGGCCTTTTTCACTTCAGCATATCCTCTAACATTTCCCCGATGAAAATAGGAATTTCACATTCCATAATAATAATTTCACTATTTATACCCCACACATCTTACTGGGTTGCCCCAGCCACTCTGGGCAACTTCCAACATATAAAAAAACATAATAAAACATTAAACATTTTTTTTAAAAAACCTTTTCTATACAGGGCTACCTTCAGACTGCTTGGGGATCGGATAACTCCATACCCTCCAACATTTCTCCAATGAAAATAGGGACATCCTAAGGAAAAGTGGGACATTCTGGGATAAATCAGAAACCGGGATGGCTTCCCTAAATCGGGGACATCCCTGGAAAATAGGGACACTTGGAGGGTAATAACTTTATAGCTAGGCAACAAGCTCCTTGGGTCTCAGCCTGCTCCCTAGGGACTATCTGAGATACTGGAGCAAAGTGCTTATACCGTTGGACAAGGACTGAACCAAACATACTCACTGTTGTTGTTTCATATTAAAATTGCATTCTCTGAATCAATGTGTTTATTAGTTATTAGCCATGCAAACATTGGCTGTCTTTTTAAAATAAGTTTTCTCTTTCATTTACTTAGTACTACCTTAATTTCATTTAATATGCACCCCACCTTTCAGTTTATACCAGATCCAAAAGGTGTGTTAGACCTACAGTGGAGAGGCAAAGAATCATAGAATCATAGAGTTGGAATAGACCACAAGGGCCATCGAGTCCAACCCCCTGCCAAGCAGGAAACACCATCAGAGCACTCCTGACATATGGTTGTCAAGCCTCTGCTTAAAGACCTCCAAAGAAGGAGACTCCACCACACTCCTTGGCAGCAAATTCCACTGTCGAACAGCTCTTACTGTCAGGAAGTTCTTCCTAATGTTTAGGTGGAATCTTCTTTCTTGTAGTTTGGATCCATTGCTCCGTGTCCGCTTCTCTGGAGCAGCAGAAAACAACCTTTCTCCCTCCTCTATGTGACATCCTTTTATATATTTGAAAGATTTTATATATTTGAAATCCTTTTATATATTTGAAAGATTCGCATGCTGGCTCAGCCATGAAATGTAACGTATCTTTGCCACTATCCCCCAACTTAACTTCACTTACTGGACAGCTGCTGATAAGGCAAAAGTGAGAAGAACTGCCCTGCACTTTGTACAATGGAAAAACTAGGACACGATTCAGGCAAAGTTAAGCACTTGTGACATCTTAGGATAGTACCTCCTCAGACACACACCAGGGTTCCTGTCATTCCATGAGCTACTGGTCTCTTGTCAACAATCATATTTGCCATATGCCCCTTTTCTTTACCTTGCTAGCCAGGTGCAGGAGCACTTATGCCTCAGATCCTGACCGCAAGCAACCAGCTGGACTTGTCATTTCCTCTTGCTCTGCTTTTGGAATTCCTTCCCTGTTCCTTGGCCCTCTCACTGCCTCCCTCAGGCTCTCTGCCCTTTCTTCACCCACTGCTGTTCCTGAGCGGCAGAAACTCTGTATCAGGGAAACACACGGAAGGGAAATTATTATCTGTCTGCTTCTGCCACAGACATTTAGCCTTATGACAGACAGCTCTAGCAGAAAAGCCAGCGTGACTGGGCATCGAACAGGACCATAGAGTTGGAAAGTGGGCGGGGGGGGGGGGACGACGACCCTAAACTAGCTCCTTCTGTGAGACAGGGCACTTCATTCCCTTCTACTTTCCCTCAGCGTATCAGATCACCCAACTGAAGGGCCACTTTTCCTAACACCAAATCCTTTTTGCTTTACAGCCGTTGTGATAGGTTACGATTATATTAAGCTATAGATATTACTTCATTTATTTCTCAAGATGAAAGGAGTTAGGTTTTCATTTGGCAATGTTTAAGGGATGCGGGTGGCGCTGTGGGTTAAACCACAGAGCCTAGGACTTGCCGATCAGAAGGTTGGTGGTTCGAATCCCCGCGACGGGGTGAGCTCCCGTTGCTCGGTCCCAGCTCCTGCCAACCTAGCAGTTCGAAAGCATGTCAAAGTGCAAATAGATAAATAGGTACTGCTCCAGCGGGAAGGTAAACGGCGTTTCTGTGCGTTGCTTTGGGACTACTTGTCCCGAAGTAGAGACATCCTAAAAACAATTCCAACACAGATGCAGACTATGTGACAGGAATAACATGAAGCAGTGGAAGAAAACGTAAAGCAAAGTGTGTGTGTGTGTGGGGGGGTGATTTGCACCTTGCCTACTTCAGGGTTTATAGATTTCAGTGAAGGTTTACTTAAGTTTAAATAGTTTCAGGATTGCGTCCTTGGTTTTCTCCCAGAATAACTGAAACATTTTTGTGATTAATCTGATTTCCACATGAACTGTAGCAGTTTAATTTCCCAGCAGTGGAATAGGTGGCGGCCTCAATATAAAGAAATATAGGGAAAAATGCACCTTCACTTCAAAAACTAGTTAACATTCCTCCAAGACTTTATACATGAAATCTCATCTCATACAAACCAAACACACTTAAAATAAATACACAATAAAATGCTTGGGACCAAAACGGACGTGACACAATCAAGATTGTTCTTTCCCCCAGAAGCTGCTATTAATCCCACTGGAAAAACAAGAGCAGCAGAATACAACACAATGCTTGCCTTTTCCACCTCCCTCTCCAGCAGGGCTAGAGGAAGGGCTGCTTCAGGGGCAATTTCAGTCCGGAAAAAAGGAAGGGGGAAGCTAAAGAATAACTCCCCCCAAAACCACTTCTCTCGTCAGCAATGGATTCCATTTACCCACCCTGTGGCTTTTTGAAAGGATGCTGGTGTAACCTTGAAAAACAGTGGCTACACAGGTCACACTATTAATCAGCTGTTCCTTTTGGAAGAGTGGAGTTGCTTCAAGTCAATGACAGCACCCTTGCCCTTACAGCTCTAATGGATATCTCTTGAACAGCCTTGACTAATGATGATGTTGCTTCAAAAGATCTAAAGGCACATCAAATACTCAAACATAGTGTGCTTTATCATAATTTATGAAGTAAATAACTTGTAACTCAAGCATTTATAAACATAGCTCTGTTATTACAGATATAGTGACCTGAAAAATTTACAGGATCTTCCATACCCACTTCAAAGAGGGTGCATTGCATACAGAAAATCCCATTAAAGAGGAATACCCAAGATAACAGAAGTCAACAGCAAACCTGTATCTACCTCCTTTCCTTCCCTATCAGCATGGTGTGGCTTCTCTAGTTGAGGTTGGAGAACTTCGGTTCATTTACTTAGTTCCCTAGACCGGCAATCAAAATGGGAACAGTCTCGGTCAAAAAGCCACAAGCTGTCTTCATTCTATAGACTTCTTGCTAATGAGTGAGGATTTGCCCCCTGGAAGGGAATGAGATGAAAGGCAGCTTCAGCAACACACATGACCTCCTTACTCCCTAGTACAGACTAACAAAAGTCATTACCCACAACTGTTAAAGAAACACTAACAGTAATTTTGAAAACCCCAACATTGCCAACATTTTAAGGTTTATAATAAAATATAAGCCCCTTGTTTCTTGCTGACAGACTTTGCCCCTCCAAATGTTGCACCCATGCTTATGAGGTAAGGTAAAAGGTAAGGACCGCTGGACGGTTAAGTCCAGCCAAATGTGACTTTGAGATGGACTTATGAGATGGGGCACCTTCCATGACTGACTCTAACATAGTTTTGGTGGTAGTGTGGTGACATTAGAAATGGGAAAGCACCCACACATTTTTTTAGTCACTCAGAATCAGGGCGAAGCTAACAGGATCAACATGACACTTGCACATTCTGAGGTGCCCTCAATACTTAGGGAGACTGGAGGCCCCTTCCCTTGTACAGGAGTGAATGGTGAGAGCGTGAGAATGAGATGCCAGGCTCAAAGCAGTTCCCTTTCCCTCTTGTAAATACACATCATACATATAAAGTACATTTAAAGCGGATGACTCCCCTCTTGCCAAAGAATAATTGGAATTGTAGTTAGAGGTGCTGTGAAGGGAAAACTACAGTTCCTGGGATTATTGGGGGGTGGGGAGTCATGTGTTTTAAATAATGCACTTTAAATATATGGCAAATATTGTAAGATTGTGGAAATAAATAAATAAGGAAACTATGTGCAAACCAAAAGCCAGCAAGGTTATCACAATTTTATGTGAGGCAAAATATACCTACGTATATACTCAGCTTTAAAACACAAGAAATTTATTCTCAGCTTCTGCTTTAAGTCTTGGTGTCTTGAGATATATATATATAGCTCAAAAGTCACTCAAATGTACTTCCATTTCTCAACTCAAGTAGAATATATTTCCAATAAGAAGTAAAAAGAAATATAGAGTCACAATATTTTTTATGAACTGATGTTTCACATAGCCATACAAGCAATGAAAATAGCTGATGCGAAGTTGGAAGTTATAGTCCTGTCAATGGGGAAACTCATAATGGCATGGAGTGCACTCTGTAGAATTCTTAGACCCGATAAATCAATAATATGTCAAAGCCAGCATTTATGAATGAACTCATTTGAAAATTCATCTCTATTTTATCTCCTCTTCTGATGGGAATACAGAACAGAAACAAAAGTATTTTTCACAGAAGTCATTATCCTTAATTTGCTTATGCCAGCTCAAACCTACTGACCTGGACAGGACTCCCTGAGAGAGGGGGAGCTGTAAATTGAAGGGGATGGCTATGTAAAATAACTTCCCCTCATTCTTAAGCACAGCCAGAGGAAGTAAACTGCATACATACATATTCACATTCTTGACATAAGTTCCAGTTCTCCAAGCTGAAGGGGGGAAATCAAGGATAATTCATGATTTTGTTTATAAGGAATAAATTGGAAAATATATTAATATCTAGTGATTAATTAGGATTAATCACATTAATCCCAATTAATTAGGATTATGTCACATTGACTGCTCAAATATTGCCCTTCAGATGTAGCTTTCCCTCCTGACACTCATCTCCTTTAACAACATGCCCTTCCATCACAGAGCCGTAGAAATATGCAGTTACCTCAGGAGCAGCCAATGTACGGTCAATGATAATGGGAGTTGTAGTCCCACAACATCTGGGGGGCACCACATGGCTGCCCCCAGTAACCTGGTCCTCAGCGTTCTTTGCTTAGGTTGCTTAGGTCTCTCTGTATGCTGGCCAGTTGCTGCGCATATCAAAAACAGCTGCAGTTGGTGGGAGCTGCAGTTCAAAACAAAACAACTGGAGGGCAACACATTGGTGAATGCTGCTTTTTTAAGCTTCATACTGTGGTTGAAATCATCCTGTTATTAACCCATCAGTGAACACTTCTCCATATGAGGTTAATTCTACTACATTAGAGACAAATAAAACCTATGAGTACCAAGAAGGGAGGAAGTGGATATGGGAGAGAAAGTCACTGTATTGATAATGCTGTTGTATATTTGAAGTAGAACATGAAGAGAGTCGTAACTGTTTTCTCAAGAGAGTGCTTTCGTCAAACTCTCAGAAAGTCTTCCTTAGAACCCGTGTACATATTGATTACTTGAAATATATCTGCACTGGAGTACTGGAAGAACATTACAAGCAGACAGTTAATACCCAAAATGAATCGGGGTGGGTGGGTGCTTGTGTTGGAGGTCATGGAACAAACTTCTTCGTTGGTGATAAGACTAAAACTGCCCAGATGGTTTACAATAATAGTTCTAAATATATATCAGTCGCATCAGGGCTTCATGAGCAGATCTATACATAACAGCATAAACTTATGGCACAACTTTTTGATACAACTGTACATATAAGATAGTAACTCATGTTATGACGGGATTCAGTTTTCTGCATAAAATGACCAACTTGAGTCTTATCAAAATGTTGCACTTGCACAAATCATGGGCTGCATCTTCAAGGCCCTTCATTGCCAGTGCTGAAGTACAGTTGGATCAGCTTCTGTGCATGGAATGGAGGAGGACACCAGGCTCTTTCCATCGGGCAGCAAAATATCTTGGACCTGTCCTGCCCTCAAAAAAGGAATGAGATGCTTCCTTGTTGTGTGAGAAGGAAGGACGACCCAAGTGCTGGGGTGCGGATATGTGTATATCTGAAGCAGAAGGGGCAGGTGTGCAGCCCTGGACACTCCATTTCCTCTCCCTCAGTTTGTTCACCCCTTTCACTTCTCCATTCATCTGCACTCACATTCCCAGGGCCATTCTGGATTTCCATTATCCATTTCCTTTCTTCTCTTCTTCCTCCAGTTTTCTATGCCACAGCTTCACGCTCAAGTTGCCTCAACCCTGTCTAAGCACTGCATATGTAGAGAGCTGCTGCTGGCAGTAGCCCAACCAAAAGGCTAAGGTGTGGCTGGGACAGGGGTGCAGTATTGAAGCCCACCTGACCTACAACCTGAGAAACGGCTGGTTTCAAGCAACCAGGAATGGAAACCTTCCATTTCCTTTTTGTGTGAAGAGGAGGGGAGAGTGCAAGAGCCTGAGGGTCTTACCAGCTTGTCCTCATAACAACTAATCATGGTCTGTTCCTTTTGAACTGCTTTTGGATTGCTTCTGATCTGGTGACACTGTTGATGAACCTTGGGTATGATGAAACTGGTGTACAAAAACCAAAGATGTTAATGATTCTGTCTAATCATTAACTTTCTTAACTAACTAAAACCTTTGGTGATTGCTTTGAAGTAACCTTAAATCTTCTGCCATGCCATTTCCCGTGTTTGCTCAGCTGAAACACAGAAGTTTATAAAGCTTCTATAAAATTCACAATTCAACACAAATTCATGTTTTAAAACTATCATTAATGTGCCAATCTAATCACCAAATTAACAAATAACTGGTTTTACCTCTACTATTATACACTGGCATTCAGCGGCTTTTGTACTCCAATTAGTGCTAGAAACAGATCCAACAAACGGCTGGCTTTTATATTTCCAAGGGCCTTCCCCTATCACAAGAGCTCTGTAGTGGGCCACGGGCATAGCCAAGGGGGAGGCAGCTGCCCCCCAAATCAACACAAATGAGGTTCTCCCCCCCCCCCAGCAAAAACCCTGGCTACGCCCATATAGTGGGCGTAAGAAACTCAGTAAGAAACTCCCAGATGGGCGCTTCACTGTAATTGGGTCATTGAGATATAGCAAATGGATAGCTGGCAATAATTTAGTGTGTTGCTTTTAAACTTGTTTGTATGACGAACACCAGTCCCACAATAAACATGTGTTTGGAAGCACTACTCAGCCTGACGGTGCAAAAAGCTTCTGGAAAGAAACATCATCATTTGAAGACTATGCCTTACTGCAGACTCAGCTCTTCACCCTGTCTAGTAACATTTTGCTTTTGTTTTAACTACATTTCTCTCCCCCCCCCCCACCTGTTGTTTTTTAAACCAGGCTCCAGGAAGAGTACTGTGGAACTGAAGCACACGCTCCCCGCTTGGGACTTTCAGGGGGTCTTTCAGTGAGTTCTGCTGCTACTGCCTGGATTCTCGCTCTCTCGCGGCCCAGCGCAGCTGCCCGCATTTTAAAAGACTAGTAAACTGCATTTCTTGTACGCTCCTCTCTGTCTGTCCCAAAACGCACCCCGGGCTGTACTCTTTTTTAAAAAGCGACTCCCCTCCCTCCCCGCCTGGCTCACGTCTTCCCAGTCGAGTCAGAATCGGGCAGCGCTAGGACCAGGCGTGCGCCCGGAGGAGAGCGAGACGGAGAGACGGCGGGCATCGGACGGGAGGGGAATCGAGAAGCTCTTATATGCGGAGAAGGCGGCTTGCTGCTGCTGCTGCTGCTGCCATTTCCACTCGCTCTCCGCGTTCCCCTTCCAGAACCGGGAGGGCGGCGAGGAGGAGGAGGGGGGGGGGAAGAGGGAGGCGACCGAGCCTGACTGAGCTGGGGCGCTCGGCTGCCAAGACTCACACACTGCCGCCTGCTGCTGCTGCTTCGACTCTGCACAAGCGAGGAGGAGACGGGGAAGGGAAGCGAGACGGCACCGAGCGCGGAGAGGAAAGCCCCCGAGAAGCGCGAGGCAGCCCCCTCCCTCCCTCCCTCCTTCTCCCCCGAGACTCTCGTGGCGCAAGGAAAAGGACGGAGCTGCAGAAAGTGGGACGGGAGGCTCGGGGGTTTCTGGAGAAACAAACAAACTTTCGGCGCCTGGAGGAGCATTGGGCAACGTGGAGGCGCTTCGGGCTGCGGCGCTGGGCCACTGAAGCCCCTCGGAGCGCCCATGCGCTGAGTCCAAGTTCTGGCTGGCTTCCTTCCCGAGGTCACTCTCGGTTCCCGCGGCGGGCGAAGGTGAGCGGGGAAGCCCGCAAAGAGCAGAGGAAGGAGCGGAGAGAAGTTTCTTTCGGAACAAGAAGGCGCCCCCGGGGAGGTCTTTTCGCGCGCCGCCAAGATGGGCTGGAAGAGCGGCTGCGGAGTCCGGAGCGGAGCGGACCTGCTGTGCCTGCTGACCCTCTGGCTGGGCTTCTTGCTCCCCGCCTGCAGGACTCGCCTCTACACCAACCACTGGGCGGTGCGGATAACCGGCGGGAACCAAGAAGCCAACAGGATAGCTAGCAAGTACGGCTACATCAATATAGGACAGGTAACCCTCCGGCCGAAGGGCCCCCGCGCTCGCCCCAGGGCTTCGCGTCCCGCCGGCGGGGGGGGGGGAGGCGGCGGCCAGGCAGGCGCACATCTGCCGGCGGGGAAGGGCCAGGAAGCGGACGCCCCTCCGCGGTCACCTCCTGCGGCGCAAAGGGCAGGTAGAGGTCTGGCCAGGTCTTCCCTCCTGCTCCTGCTCCTCGTGCGCGAGCCCCAGAGGAGCAACTCGCGGTCTCTGAGGGAACTGTTTCGGTGGCTGCGGAGTTGAGACCGGGAGGGAAGAAGGGCAGGCCGATTGGGGAAGGGGAGAGGCGGGCTGGGGGAAGGGAGGGAGGACTGCGAGGAGGCTGGGGAGGGCGGCGGGGCGAAAGCTCCCTCCGACGGGGGCATCTCCCTTCGCCCCGGGGCTGCAATGGGGCGCTGCTCGGCAGCTTCTGAAAACGGGGAAGGAGCAGAGCAGCCGTTCCCAAACTTCCTGTGTTGAAGAGGTAAAGGGGGGGGGCGACGACTCTGGCTCCCTTCTCCGCTGCCGCCGAGGCTCGCGCCTTGTCCGGAAGACGAGCCCGTGGATTTGCTCCCTCTTGGGCTTCGGCTGTTATTTAAGCCGCTCCAGAACTCACCCGCCGCCCGGAACACGCAGCTGGCGGGTCGGAGCTTCGCCGGGCTCTGCCTGCCTTTGAATCTCTCACACCTTTCCGGTGGGGCTTAGCCTCCAGGCTGCTTGCTGAAGACGTGCTAATAGGGCTGGGCGTTAATCGGAAGGAATGGCTCTCGGCTTTAAATCTCCGAGGAGGGGGAAGTGGAGGGCTGAGGAAAGGAGGAGGAGGCGGCGCCGGTTTGGTTTGTGTCCCTTCGCCCATCGTAAAAAGGCGACAATCGCGCCGAAAGCTGGGACGAAAACCAAGGGCGCCGCGCGCTGCGCTGCCGACCAGGTGGATTTCTCGGTTCCCCTGGAATCCTCCCCGCGCCCCGAAGGGCTGGAGCTGGTGGGGCTCCGGCGCCTGAGTCAGAAAGCAGGAATTTGATGCATCTGCCCGGATGCTTGCTCTGCTTCTCTCCGGGTTTTCATTCTGCTGCTGGGGGGGGCAGCTCTCCCCCCCCCGCCCTCAGCAGCTAGTAGTCGGAGCTCTCGCAGTTTACAGCCTGGCCCTTCCCCGTGTCCTGAGCTCTCCCTTGCTCTTTGTGCAGTGGACTTTGAGCACAGCAAATGGAAATCAACATTTTAACAAGCAGATGGTGTGTGTCCCTCCTCATAGATGGGCCAAGATTTCGCCTCGGCTTCAGCCAGCATAACAGAGAAGGCGGCGGGGGCGGCGGGAGACAGGATCACATTTGTACCATTAGGCATCAGCCCTGGAACTTTTCACTACTATGGATCCCCCCCCCCCCGCATTTGGGAAGTAGACTGTAATTAGGAATACCTTTGAACACAGATGGAGTAAGCGAACCCTACTCAATCAACTCCACTCTCAAATTAGGACACAGGCTTCTGAATCTGATGCTGAAACTTCAATTGTGCTAGAACCTCAAGCCGCCCCCCTTAATTAAACAAATTTCTGGTACCTGTAGTGGGTAAAGACGTAATCATGTTGATTTATTTTTTAAGTTGAATGATGGGGAAAGTGCAGAGGCTTTGCTACTGCATGATGCCTTGTGCTGACCACTGACCTTTGTTGAGGGGACATAGGAAAATGAATGACAAGAATACACACTGAAAACAGTGGAGGATGTCTGAAGGCCCACTGAGGGAGTCGCCAACTGGGCACCCATGGTTGCACATATCCCTACAAAAAGCTTTCCCTGCTCCCTCCCTCCACTTGAAATTAGGCTTGAAATTAAAATTCTGTTGTATCCAATATATGTTGCGATGTGTGCTTAGTTGTGTTTCTGCTGCTCGCAGCAAGTTTCTCTGGTTTGCATATGTGTCCATGAGCCCAAAAAGGTTGGTGACCCCATGACCATTGGAAATAATGGGAACAATGAATGCCAATTGACATGACATGCTCAACTAATTGACAGTCAGGAGCATCTAGAGAGTGGCTAAAAATTCAGCTGTCCTGCTAAAATCCAGGGAGTGCTGAAACCATTATGGAAGAGGAGGTGTAGGTGTTCAGCTTTGTAGAAGAAATGTTCAAGTCTTCAAGAAACGTTTTGAGGAACACTATGTAACTTTCAAAGTGCTTTAGAAAAGTACTTAAGCTTCAGTGGTATTTCTACTGACTTTTCATTCCATATATGCGGTTGGCAGGTTCTTTAATGCAGATGTTTGGGAGATGTCTAATGTTTGAATTAAAGTGGGCTTGCACTAATCTGACTTGATTTAAATTTACTCGTATAGGAAACACCTGGAATTTGCAGAATCCACAGATGTTTGGTTAACAAACACCTGGAACTAGCTACATCCCCCTGCCAAAAAAGAAAAAGGCAATGAGAAAATACTTGGACCCAGACAAATGCAGTCACTCAGTAAGGAAACACCTGCTGCATGCAGTAACACTTAGAAAATACCCTGCTGCTAAACTGTCATTCTAGACAAGATGGAAAAATAGATTCTCATTACTGACAAAGTCTCCGTGATAACACCTCACACATTTTATGGCACTTAGCCAGCCAAGGTGTGAAGCATGCAACCCCGAGCATAAGCCATGGATGGCATGGTTAAAATAACACACAATAGAGTTTTGCACTTATTCTTTATGACCCCAGTACAGGATAGTGTTTCCTTCTGGTTAACATATTTATTACACAAATGCAGAAGTCTAGGGCACCAGTTTCAACCTATACAATACAGATCTTTATTTTATGCTGTAGGTAAAGGTAAAGGTACCCCTGCCCATACGGGCCAGTCTTGTCAGACTCTAGGGTTGTGCGCCCATCTCACTCTATAGGCCGGGGGCCAGCGCTGTCCGGAGACACTTCCAGGTCACGTGGCCAGCGTGACAAGCTGCATCTGGCGAGCCAGCACAGCACACGGAACGCCGTTTACCTTCCCGCTAGTAAGCGGTCCCTATTTATCTACTTGCACCCGGGGGTGCTTTCGAACTGCTAGGTTGGCAGGTGCTGGGACCGAGCAACAGGAGCGCACCCCGCCGCGGGGATTTGAACCGCCGACCTTTCAATCGGCAAGTCCTAGGCGCTGAGGCTTTAACCCACAGCGCCACCCGCGTCCCTTTTTTATGCTGTAAGAACCCATAAAATACACCTGATACTATATCATACTATATCAACCTCTCCCCTACCAACTAGCTCAGATCAAAGGACAGTAACACTTGTTCATTTTTGTTGTGTCATAAAATCAGTTCACACATACTGTATGATTACAGTGAAAGTTTCAAAAAGTAGTTTATTATGGCCCTTAATTTGAAGAGCTTTCTCTCATCTTCTATGATAATAAAGTGTTACTGCACAGGCAGTGTAAATAGGTTACTCAAGCAATACAGTGAATAGGTGTCATAAGATTGCTTATATGTAATAATGCCACACACCGGTAGTATTAATAAAATACTAGTTAAGCTTCAACTTGGGGAGGATAAATATTGGACAAGTCTGCAAGGAGAACAGATTCCTCAGATTCAGAAAGAGATAGCCTCCACTATTGGAGAGTTCCAGAGCTCTGTCTAGTCAGGTTATGTGAGATCAATTTCAACCTGTTATTTCCGAGGTTGTGGACAGGCTGCTTGGACGAGTGAAAGCGAGCCAGGCGGGTTGGGCAATGGGCTCTGTGGGGTGGTGAATGTTTCCCTCTGTGAGGGTATCTTCCCTGAGCCCCTTAAAGAGCCACTTAAAAAAACAAAACACCAACCAATGTGGCCCATTATTGCCTGGTCTCAAATCTTCCATTCCTGGGCAATGGATAGGGAGAAGGCTGTCTCTCAAGCTACGTTATGCTTAGTCAAACCATTTCCCCATCTACTACATTTCCCCATCTCTAATTGGTAGAAGCTCTCTGAGGTCTCTGGCAGAGTGTTTCTTTCCTAGCTATGTTACTTGTGAATTTTTCAAGTGGAGATGAACCTTGGCTCTCCTGCATGCAAAACATATTCCCAACCATTACAGTATTGTAATGATGTGCTAGTGTGGATTTTTACATTGTTGATTAGTACAGATCATGGCATTGGTCCAGCTAGCATTGCTTTACTATAAGATATACCCATCAGTGAACTATATGTGACCCTCGCAGGTACAAACAAACATCCTGACCTTTTAGTACTTACTGTAAAGATTAATCTCTAGGTATTAGCAAAATTTAATTATCACCTTTCTATAAGAAAGAAGTAGACTTCACAACTTCTTTCAAAAGTAACTTTATTATCTGGGAAATGTAAGTGATTGAGTGGGTGGTCGTTGAACAACTCCAGGAATATCTGGAGGATGTAGACCATTTGGACCCCTTCCAATCAGGATTCAGGCCCCATGATAGGACTGAAACCGCCTTGGTCAAGCTGGTCAATGATCTCTGGTGGGCTAGGGACAGAGGTGAAAACTGTTTCCTGGTTCTGCTGGAGCTCTCAGCGGCTTTTGATACCAATGACTATGGCATCCTTCTGAACTGTCTACAGGAGTTTGGAACTGGGGGCACTGCTATACAGCTCCTTCCTCCTGGGCCCTGTCCAGAAAGTGGTGTTGGGGGATGAGTGTTCAGACCCCTGGGCAATCACTTGTAGGGAGCCTCAGGGCTTTTAAACATCTATATGAAGGCGCTGGGAGAGATTCTCAGGCAGTGGCTGACCTACGTTTTTGAGACCCTGAAGCTTGAACAGATCTGGGGGCCCCTTCGCAACCAGCAATGAGGTCTGGGTAACCACTGTTATTGTCTTCTGTGGGGTTGTTCCATGGCAGATCGCTTGAAAAAAACAAAAAACTACCACATCTCAGATTTTGATTAAAATTGCTGCACTGGAATATTTCACATGTCAAAGTCTTTTATATGACAAGCTGCCATTCAATTATGCAAGCAATTTAATTTGGAACACTTCATTAGACAGAATGGTCATATACTAGTATAATAAAATTGGTATTAAAATGGTATTAATATTATTAACTTGACAGAGGTGAAAGATGACTAAGTACTGCTCTAATCTATAGTTCAGTGGATGCAGGGTTACATATATCTGCCATTACCTAAGAATCCAAGGTCTCTGTTTTTTTGCTGTCCTTTGTATTCCAAAAAATGGCAAATACTCCCAGGGAGATTGTTTAATTGGTTTACTTTTAGGACAATAAGTAAGAGGTCAGAAAGGCAGTGATTATATTGTCAGCAATTCTTAACAGGTAACAAACTAGTTTACCTTAGCAGTTTTACTTTTAGGACATGAGGTAAGAGGTCAGAAAGGCAGTAGTAGCCCTGTCAGAAATTCTTAAGAGGTAACAAACTATTCTTGTTCATATTCACTTTTCTATGTGAATTTGTAAAAGAAATTGTGTATAATTTTATTCATATATTCATCTTATTCACATTTTCTGACTAGTTCTTTGATTCCCACCCCCCTCAAGCAGACACCTTACAACAGGGGTCCTCACACTATGGCTCACGGGCCACATCCAGCCCCCAGGGTCCTAAATCCAGCCTGCCTGGCCATTTCAGAACCCGCCCCAAAGTCGGAGGTTGAAACGCCACACCGGGTTAACCTCAGCCTCAGGCTCTGCCTCAAGCTCATTCCCCAACTCCCTCATTCAGTCCCTTGGTCGCCTCTTCCCGGTCGTGCGCTGCCTCGCCGCACGGATTTCACACGGCGCACATGTCCCGCTTGAAGTCAGTGGCAAACACCTCTCTCGGTTTCCATGGGGTGGTGCGAGGGGCCCGCAAGTCAGGCCCGCCTTTTTGTTTATTTCCCCATCCAAGAAACTGGCCAGCCAAGGTGGGGGTTGCAGTTTCTTTCTTTTTGGTTCCTCTCCTCTCCTCAGTTCCCACCCGGGAGGCAGAAAGGCTCCGTGGCCTCGCCCAGGCCTTGTCTCGTTTCCCAAGAGATCTCTGATATCGGGATTTTTAAAAAGAGGCTTCCCCGTAAGGAAGGGTGGCTCCTTGGTTAGGGAACTGCCGTAGTACAAACAGGTCCAAGTTGCAACCCACAATTCCCCAGCCTCTTCAGCTGCTCCTTCTCTTTTGAATAGGGTTACTCGTGAGAAAACGGCTCCTGTCTCTGGAGTGCAAGAGGGCATGCTCAGGGCTTCAGAACTGGGTCCTTAGCTGTGCGCCTTTGGGAGTAAATTCAACCCCGAAGGAATGGGCTGCGTGGTTCCCAGGCTCTGCATTGACTTCACACTTCTTCCCTAAGCTCATTTAGGGAGAAGTTCTTTGAGTGAAATTCTTAGTAAATTTTAAAAGGGTGGAGTGGGGCAGAACCAGGGTGGCATCAAAATCTAAAGCCTATTTATTATTGTGGATTTTTAATAATGTTGCAGTATATATATGTTTGAGCACTGACCATTCATATTTTTTTCAAACTATAGTCCGACCCCCAACAGTGTCTGAGGGACAGTGAACCGACCCCCTGTTTAAAAAGTTTGAGGACCCCTCCCTTACAACCATCATATTTGAAGGGGGCAGGAAATAAATCTGGAACAATTTTTTTCCTCTCTCTGTAAATTTTCTTGCAGTTCTGCCTAATTAAGGTTACTGTTTAACTTGAAAGTTTTCATACTTCTACAGTAATTCAATGGGGCTTACTCTTAGATAAGTGTGCACAGAATTGGGGCCTCATTTGAGGATTAGCAAAGACAAACATTAACCTTGAACTCTTGAAAGTCAATGGAAAGCTTAAAATGTTGTTTTTAATATGATGAAGTTTTGGGCCAAAAGGCCCAAAGGAATAGAAAACTTTAGACTTCAGTGAATGAAGAAATTCTTCAGAACTTATGAGTAACAGGAAATATTTTTAAAAAGAGAAGACAAGAGTCAGATCTTACAAACCAGTTCTTAAGAAAACTGTTAATATTGATACTAAATTAATTTTGGGAGAAGTAGTAGTTGACTATTTCACTAATCGAAAATATTTAGTCAGTTAACCTGTCAAATACTGTTAAAATATGGTCAAATGTTGAAAAATACTACTCCAACATTTAAGGTTATGCTTAACTGAAATAGGCACACTGCAGAAACTTTTTTCCTCTCCCTGAAAACTACCTCACTCTTCAGCAAATTTCAGGACTGTAAAACATTTTCAGATATGAAACTGTTTGCTTCCTGGCTTCCTTCCTGGCCCTTCTTCAGAGCGAAGGCAGTGCTTTCTGCCTTCACTCTGAATTGCCTCCATGACATCACATAGCCAAATCTACTGAGCTACATAGCACTATGTTGTTGTTCAGTCATGTCCGCCTCTTCATGACCCTGTGGACCAGAGCATGCCAGGCCCTCCTCTCTTCCACTGCCTCCCGCAGTTTAGTCAAACTCATGCTGGTAGCTTTGAGAACACTGTCCCACCATCTTGTCCTCTGTCGTCCCCTTCTCCTTGTGCCCTCCATCTTTCCCAACATCAGGGTCTTTTCCAGGGAGTCTTCTCTTCTCATGAGGTGGCCAAAGTAATGGAGCCTCAGCTCCACATAGCACTATATACAGTGTTTTTTTCTGGGGGTACGCAGGGGTACGCATATGCCTAAACATTTTGTGAACCTTTGTACTTTTGTCCATTTACTGTATTTATTTTTTCCAATTTGAACTATAAAATGGTGATTTTATTGAGTCAAAATGAGAGTACCCCTAAATATATATTTTTTTAAAGGAAAAAAAGCACTGACTATATATATTAGTATATATCACATTTACTATAAGACCCCAGTTTGACTGGAGTCCCAGGACAAGAAGAGGAAGTTTGTGAGAGGGAATTGTGCAGGAGCAACAAACAAGACACACTGTGAATACCAGTGAACAGTCACACAAAAAATTAAAATACCAAGTAGTGGATGTTCAGGAATACTGTGGCCCCCTCACTTCACATCAAAAAATCTTGTGAACTGCCCAGAGACCTGTGGGTATAGGGTGGTATACAAATTTAATTAATGAATGAATTAATAAATAATATCCCCTAGTTACAACCAGTGCAGAAGTAATTCAAAGCATTAATTTAGTGGAACTCTCAGAAGTAGACTTCTGATAATAATACAGTGGTACCTCGCAAGACGAATGCCTCGCAAGACAAAAAACTCGCTAGACGAAAGGGTTTTTTGTTTTTTGAGCTGCTTGGCAAGACGATTTTCCCTATGGGCTTGCTTCGCAAGACGGAAACGTCTTGCAAGTTTGTTTCCTTTTTCTTAACACCGTTAATACAGTTGCGACTTGATTTCGAGGAGCAACTCATAGAACGCAGTGTGGTAGCCTTTTTTGAGGTTTTTAAAGACTTTGGTGATTTTTGAAGCTTTTCCAAAACTTTCCCGACACCGTGCTTTGCAAGACGAAAAAAATCGCAAGACAACAAAACTCGCGGAACGAATTAATTTCGTCTTGCGAGGCACCACTGTATTAGAAAACCCAAGTTAACTTTTTGTGAAACAATGCATTCTGATAAATTGAAACAATCATTTTTACAAATCAGAAAGTTATGCAAATATAAACTATATAAGTGTATGAAAGAGACTTAACAGTTCTTGCTGGTTTTTATCTTGGAATTGCAATGTCCCGGCATAATTAAAAGTGTAAACAAAAAACCACTACCTACTTTTTTGAAGAGAGGGCAGTGATGGAGGTATAGCAATAAGATGGAGAGCATGCTCTCTTTTTTAAAAAAATAAATAATTTTTATTAACAGGCCAATCACGTCACATTAATTCCAAATCACATTAGTTCCAAATTACACAGCCAACTTCGTGCTCCGAAAGGGATCCAAACATCTCTCTTGCTGCGGCTTTAATGTACCTTCTCTTTGTTGTTTTCCTCATCTTCTTGTTGTTATCATATATTCCTTTCTTTGTGATCTCTGATAGTCTCCACAAGCGGGTTGAAAACAAACGTTGTTATATCCTGTGTGGATTTTACACTCCTCCAAGAGCCATGTCAAAAAAAACACTCCAAAAAAAACAGGCGCCATTTCCGCACCTCCATACAAAACATTCCCACAGTCTGTCCGTTGATTTCCACAGGCCTGCCAGTCTCTCATCAATTTTCTCAGGGGGCCCTGCCAGGTCCAACTCACATTCCGATATAGTAACAAGCCATGGTCCTCCTCCCCCTCGTCCTCCTGTAGGCAGGCCTGCCATAACAAATCTCTTTTTATTGCTGCGTCACACAGAACTTTCATTCCTTCCCGATCTTCCCACCAGCCATGTCTTTGATTAGTAATTTATTTCCACACATTTCTTAATCCTCCTGCTTGTGATCAGTAATTGCAACGATTCTTTTCTTGGGGGGGTATTAGGTACTCACATAAGACAAAAAAAGAAAAGTTTCCCCGCCTCCCCCTTTCAGTTCCACTACATACCAATCCTTTGATGACTCTTCTTCTTGATTTATTGTTAAATTCAGCCCGTCACTTCCACTTCACAGAGATCCCTTTAATTAGCAGTCTTTACTCCCGATCTTCACTTGAAGTATGTGCATTTGCTTCTCTCTCTAATTGTTTATTTTGAGCTGATGCAGCTAGTGCGCGATCAGAGACAGCGTCCGGGAGAGCCGGACCCACACAAGGGCTTTGTGCCTAGTGCCCTCACCCCCTTCTTTCGAATCCGGGGATGATTTATTGCCACAGCAGGCAAGGCAGCGTTCCCCATTTCCTTGGGGCAACAAGGGAGGCTGCATACTCCCATATCAGTCTCCGTCTCAGTCAGTTTTATTGCACATAGCCAAAGGCTGCCGCAATGTACACAGAATTATTTGACAATTAAAAGAAAATATACTGAATTGGTAAAAAAAAGACTTAAAACATTTGTATTATTAAAACATTATGTACTCTAAACAAAGCTATAAAAGTACCCCAATGTACAAATAAAAACATTAAACAATAAAATTCATAAGCTAAAATCATCACATGGTCACTAATGTTAAAAACAATATCAATTAATACAGTGTGCAATTTATACTCAGAGTTTGGTGACAAAGATAGAGCATAGCCTGAGGTAGATAGATAGGATCAAACAAATTCATACTCCCATATCAGCCTCTTAATTACCTCGTGTGAGCCGGAGAGATGGTATTGTCGGCCATCTTCCAATGCACTCCTAGTGGCCCCCCGATGGAGAGCATGCTCTCATTAGGGTTAATGGCCAGGCATATTACGCAATGTGTAAGCTACTTATGGCTTGCCAAGACTTGGTGCAGATCAAATTTATTTGGTTCTTTTTACAATTTGTGGCATTTGGAGAGTTGTGACCAGCCATAACAAAACAGCTCATATAGAAAACACAGTGAGACTTAAATTTAGGCATGTATAGGACAGTAACACCCAGTGAACTTCATGGCTGAGTGGGGATTTGAATTGCGGTCTCCCAGGTCCTAGTCCTACAGACAGCAGAGAACACCCCCCCCCCCCAAAATTTGCAAAGTCACAGATACGTGGAACTGCCAGTGAGAGATATTGTTTCATTCTGTACATTCATGTCAACATAACATGATTATTTTCAAAGTTCTAATGTTTTTATTTCTGTAAAGAAAAGCACTTACCTGAAAACGATTCAGGAACTCTCATGCAAACCTTTACAAAAGTAGGGTGATGATCCACCATTTCTAAAAGAAATCCCAGCATTATGCTATCCTTTAAGAGACGTGGTCACCAGAATTACTCACAGTATTCCAAGCGCAGCTGCACCATTGTCTTGTATAAGGCCATGATGGTATTTCCAGTTTCTGTTTTCAATCCTTTTCCTAATGGTCACTACACTATAATTTACCAATTTTACTGCTGCCACAACCTGGCACACAACATCTTAACCACAACATCCTAACTGAGCTTTCCGCTATGACCCTAAGTTCTTGGTCAGCCACCGCCAGCTCAGACCTCAACAGCGTATATGCAATCTAACATTTTGTCCCAGCATATATCACTTTACACTTGTTAACACTGAATCAGATTTATCATTTTAAGGCTCATTTACCCAGTTTGGAGAGAGCTTTTTGGAGTGCTTTGCAGTCTCTTTTTGATAAAAACTACCCTGAACAACTTGGTGTCATCAGCAGACTTTGCTAACTCATCTCCAGGAAGGGCTAGAAAGACTCTGTCTCATGCTGCAGATTTGGGTTCAAAAAGCAGACAACACATAACCAGTAAATCTCACCCACTGTCACAAATGCACAGGACCATAACCAAGAACTACAGCAGAATGGTTTTCTTATATATTTTAAGATATAAGAATATTTATTATACTTACACTCCTCCCTCCATACCAAAGACACCATCAGATACACAAAATCAAATGGGCAGGGACACAGGAAGGGGGACACCCCTCCCAAAAATATCCTCCTTTCTCTCATAATTTATGGTCTGCTCTCCCCATCCTCATGCTCAACCTGTATTCCTAGAAAAAAAGATGCAGCAAAATTCAAATAAAGGGGGAAAACCTTTATTCTTCATGCTTGGGCATGGAGCTTAGTTATTCAACTATTTTATGTTACATATCTGTCCTGCCCTCCTAATGCCCATGCACCATTCCCCGCTGTCCCAGATTTGACAAGATTAATGTTAAATTGTGTCACTGTTGCAGATTATTGTGGGAAATTTACAATGTTCTGCAAAATATAAATGTGCTTATTTAGATGTGTGCTCTTGTATTATGCATGAAGAGCTGTCAGATGTTACTTCTGACAACATTGGTTGAAAGGGATGGAAATACTTTCCCTTTAACTAATAATACAATTGTGTTCTGTTCAGTTCAGGTATCCTTCAAAGTCTCTCAGTTAGGATTATTAGTATTTTTGTCTCTAGGATCCGCCATGGCCAGCAGCTGAGGCATTTAACTACGCAGATGTAGTGGAGGGTAAAATAGGAGTGTGGAAAAGCTTGCAGCAATGACTTTTAAAGTTAAAAATGTTGTTGAAAAGCTGAGCCCAACTCCTGCCACCATTTCCTTATGATGATATCTGGATAGTTAGGAAAAGAAGCTAATTTGTCGTGTTGGCACTCAGTTGGTACAGTAGGTAGATACTCAGTCGCAGGGTCCTGAGTTCCAAGTCCCGTGTTGAGCAAAAAGATTCCTGCATTGCAGGAGGTTAAACTAGATAATCCTTGTGGTCCCTTCCAGCTCTACAATTTTGTGATCCATCTCACTCAACATTGTCTGCATTGGCTGGCAATGATTCTCCAAAGTTTCAGGCAGGGTCAACCCTCTCTGGAGATGCCAGGCTTTGACCTGCAAACTTCCACAAATACAGCTGGTTCTTTCCACCTTGGAACAATGACCTTCCCCTTTCTTTGCTTACAACCCGAATGTCTTCTCACTCAGGACTACAGGTAACTGCAGGGGTTGGTGTGGAACTGAAGCTCTAGCTCCTGCTTCTCTTGTATGCAATGCTCTCTCTACCAGAGGTATGTACTTGTTTAGGCATCACACTAGACAGCGTTCCTAAAGATGTGATCTGAACATAGTTTGTTAATGCATTTCTCACTAGCTATCTTCTTTGACTTTTTTTGGATTTGAACTACAAAATGGTGATTTTCTTGAGTCAAAATGAGAGTACCCCTAAACATATATTTTTTTAAGAAAAAAAGCACTGGCAGGAAGTATATCCTAAAAATGCAGTCTCCTGAAGAGAGTTCAAATAAATGCTGCAACAGCAATAATACCATGGTACTGTTTGTGAGGGGAGGGGGAAGCAAGAGATTTGAATGCAGCCATGAAAATTACAGTATAATGATGTATCATCTTAAGTCCTGTGGCTTCCCCCATTTCCTGTAAACACAGCTTTGTGCCAGAAATACATTTGTGCTTTTATACTAAAACATTCCTGATAAGTTGCATACGGGAGAACAGCTTTGTCAAGGACCACAGCCCTGATGCCCACTGTGACCCTGAACAAATCAGAGTTGATCAGGATTCAGCACATTTGCTTCCTCCAAAGTCAGATTATCTCCAAGGCTAATGTTTAAAATGTAGAACAGTACAGTATTTATGTCCATTTTTAGGCATGCATTTTCATAGGGGCTAACCAATTTGTATGTTTCTGTTAACAGTTTAACACAGGGAACAGAGTACCATTAAGTGCTTGCGGAGGCCTATACTCTCATCAACACTCACATCTGCTTCACAGCAGTACTGGCTGCAGAATTTGAAGGCCTTCATGCAGTGCACCCTTAGTGGGCCGCATCAACCTATGATAGTTTAGCTGTGTGCCAGTCATGCTTCTCCAGTCCTCCCTCTTCCCCCAGCAACTTGCACACTCCTCCACTTTCCCAAGTCCACAGCATGCTGCATGAAACTAAAAGGGGAAGGGTGCTCTTATTTTGTTACCCCCTCCAACACAGCAAGACCCAGAGAACTTGAGGGAGAGGCAGAATGTAGGTCTTTTCTTTCACTTCCCTGCAGGCTTTGGAGAAAAACAATGGAACTAATGGAACTTACTCCCTAGTAAGTATGTTTAGGATTACAGCCAAACTATTTTTGAGTGACGGTAGACTCAGCTATACAACTGCAAATAAAAGGTTTTTAATGTGTTGTAAAGTGCAATATACAAATGTGACACTAGATGGCAAAAGAGAGCTATGCCAAATTCAATGTGGTATTTTAAAAAAATTAAAAAAGCATTTTCAGTGTTTTTTTATATGTGTGTAGATTCCACCAGTGTTGTAAACAATATTTAAATAAAATTCACTTGATATTAGTTCCTGGATGAGACTATAGGCCTCCCTAAACAATTTCTGCAGAATTGATGGTTGAAGAAACAAGGCTGAATATTTCATTCCCTCAGTGGTTGGCATCCGACTGTCTCAAGAGACAATGGAGGGCACCTCTGGGAGTGAAGTCAAATGCTGTGTTAGCAGCGCTAAAGTGCCCTGAGGAGCAAGCCTGGCCAGTGTGTATGGAGGTCCTGCGCTGCTCAGGCGACAGGACCCCGCTCTCGACCTTGTTGACACTGACATACTTCTGGAAGCTGGCACCAGAAGTGTGCTTCCAGAAGTACACAGCCAGATTCTGGAGGTGCGGCTGCCGTGACGGCCTGCCAGGCCTCGCTGCCGTGGCAGGAGGCGGTGACAGAAGCAGCAGCGGCCTGCCAGGTCTTGTGGGAGGCGACAGAAAAAGTGGCAGTGGCCTTGCAGGCCTCGAAGGCCTCTTGGCAGCCTTGGATAGGCGGGGGAGGCAGAGAGAGAGAGCCAGCAAAGGCCAGGCAGCGGGATTGGGGCAGAAAATGTTGGCCTGCATGCCTTTGGCACCAGGCTGGGTTCAGGAGTTGCTGGAAGGCGCCACCCAACTCTCTTAGGGACTCCACTCGGGATTTGTGGAGGATTTTTTGCTTCGCCTTTTCTTCTCCCTTTATAAATGCTTCTTGGATTGTTGAAATAAATGCTACGTATATTATGACTGATATATCAAACTGTAGAATGGTGTTTACCATTTTCCATGCTTTGTTAAACTTTTTTTTACAGATAGGCACATGGGGCAGACTTTGATTCAGTAGAAAGTCTAACAAGGCTGTTAAAAGTTTTACTGCTGTGACAGTTGATGCTGATAAAATAAATGGATGAGATGGTGTGATGGATATTTACTACCTCAACAGATCACTTAGTGAATGAAACTCACCCCCAATAATACCCAGGGGTTGGAGCGTTATTATTTCACAGTAAACTGTACTGGAGTTGATGATAGGGAATTATTTAATCAACCTTGATGCTGCGGTCAGTAAAATGAAAACATTGCAATTATCCTGACCAGTCATTTCTGCCTTTTGATTTGTAAGGCGAAGTACAATGTTAAAAGGCTTATTGGTTGTTGTGTTATTAAGTGTACTATGGAAACAATATAACTGTTGTAGGTACTGTATGAATTGCTTTGAACACTGTACTGTATGCTCTTTTGGCATAAATGCAAATCTGTAGTTTACACTAAACAGACACACCTTGTTCCAAAACTCATCAATATCTCAAATTATTTATTTTCTCTAAGGCTGATTCCTTTGCTCATATCAGTTTAATTGCATTGACTTTACATCTGGTTCACATGAGATTAGATCAGAGTAGATACAGCAATTGCTTAACTGATAAACTAATAATCAGTGTGAAGAAGACTGAGCAATTTACATAGCTTACTCTGAATAGGGAATCAATTTTTTATTATTTGGTAGCTCAAGGAGGTTAGGGTGAACAAAAATAAGGGAAGCCAAAAAGTGCAAGTAGATTAATAGGTACCATCCAGCGGGAAGGCAAACAGCATTTCCGTGTGCCGCTCTGGTTTTGGTGTTCCGTTGTGTCAGAAGCGGCTTAGTCATGCTGGACACATGACCTGGAAAAACTGTCTGCGGACAAACGCCGGCTCCCTCGGCCAGTAAAACGACATGAGCGCTGCAACCCCAGAGTCCTCTGCGACTGGACTTAACTGTCAGGCAGTGGCAGAGCTTCATGCTCCTGCAAGGGGGTGTGTGGCAGAGAGCAGACGGGGGTGGGGCTGGCACGCGTTCTGCGGGTGTGGCATGCCACTTGCAGGGGCATGGTGCCCAGCGTGGGCAGGGGGGCAGCCGTGATGGCACCCTACCAGGATCGCACTGCTGGGGGTGGTGCGCTCCCCCCACACTCCTCTTCCTCCGCCAGTGCTGTCAGGGGTCCTTTACCTTTTTAAAGGAAGTTCTGGGAAGGCAAACCAGTATCTGGTCCAAATGCAGTATGATGGCAGCTTTTCCATGTACTTAAATGTGTAGAAAATGGGGGATCTAGTCTAGTTGTGACATGTCATCTTATGATGAGTTAGAGGAGGACTTTGTAGACAAACGTCCCTTGCAGATATGATGGGCTGATCTGCTGTTAGTGTTCTACCAGCTAGTAAATACTTACCTGTTCACATAGGCATAACTAGGCACTGATCCTTAGTACTGATTCTACAGAATTCTGGATTCCAGTTTGCATATTTTGTTGTATCTGCTTTATTTTGTAAACCACCTTGTTGTTATTATTAATTTATTGTAATGAAAGGCTGGTATGTAAATAATTCTCATTAAATAATAAAATAAACTAGCAGAAAAGCACCTGGAGGAGAGAGAACTGGGGAGATGGGGTGAGCTCCCATTGCTCGGTCCCTGCTCCTGCCAACCTAACAGTTCAAAAGCACTTCCCCGGCAGGAAGTTAAACGGCGTTTCTGTGCACTGCTCTGGTTCTCCAGAAGTGGCTTAGTCATGCTGGCCACATGACCCGGAAGCTGTACGCCGGCTCCCTTGGCCAATAAAGCGAGATGAGCGCCACAACCCCAGAGTCGGCCACGACTGGACCTAATGGTCAGGGGTCCCTTTACCTTTTAAACTGTAGATAAGGAAATATTTTATTCCCCTCGCCCTTGGCTTTTAAAATTTGATACAAACCCCTTTTCTACACAAATGGTGCAAGTCTATGTTTATATATACAGAATGGTCAGTCCATCTAGGTCAGTCCTTAGCTTCCTCTATGAAAAATTATAATCCTTAATTATATGAATCCAACTCCTTCTTATTATATGTATCCAACTCCTTCTTCAAGGGCACAGTGGCGTACAAAGGAGTATTATCCACATAACTGCCCTGTGTGGTAAATTAAGGCCGAGAGAATGTGAGTGACCCAAAGTCATCCAATATGAGCAGGGATTTAAAATGGATTTCTTCATCCATTCCAATATTTCTCCACCACACCATGCTGGATCTCCATTGTTCTTGGAATCTCAAGACTGAAAGCCGATGAGAGGCTAATCTGACTTTTTATTTATAAAGAACACTTTTTTTTTTAGTGTGCTGTTAATATTGGTTGACTTCCAGCACCTGAGTTGTTTTGAGCTGTTTCTCAGCAAAAGCTTGAACCTTCTGAGGTGCACAAAGGCTTTTGCAGAGGGTTGAACAAATCATTTTTCCATTAAATGAAGGAAGAGGTTTATGTATGAGTTACTCCTGAAAATCTACAGAATAATTGCCCCTTCACTTTTTATTAACTCACAATGCAAATAAAATATTTTATATTGACATATCAATAGATGAAATAGAAAGACTATTCAGAAATTGTAAATAATTTCTCACTATATTTGCACAGTGTATTGATAAATAACATTGCATAAAGATTGCCCACTTTAAAAGAAAAAAAGAGAAAGAAATAACAGTGGACATGTCTTGTAGTTACTAAATGTATATATCAACACATCTCTTCTTGCCATTTCAAAATGTACCAGGGAGAAGGCTGGAATCATTATTGAAGCATATGAATTCTAGGCATGACAGTTATGCCAGATTGCTCTCTGGCAATTTTTAATCTGCTCTTTGAAGGAGTGTCATTTCTCAGTGACATTGCATTTGATGTTTAACTTTATGTGCAGATTCAGCATCTTCAAAGAGGAAATGGAAGGGGGCAAAAGATACTGATGTAGCCAACTGAAAATCATATTTAGAAGCTTACTAAGCAGTATGTCCTTGTTTTAGACCAATTGCTTTGATTCAAAGAGATAGTGTTTCAAACACAGAGCTCCACTGCAGGACATGAAGAAATCCTAGCATTTGCCATATGTTCATTAAGATGAGAGGTGAATATTTATTTCACAGTTGCTTGAAATAATCTTATTTTATGCATCTGCAGTAGAAAGGAGTAATGTAAACGTTGCAGTGAAATTGTGTGAGCTCACAGATGTAGAAAGGCACAAACTCATCATTGGTGGAATTGTAAACAAATGGTCTAATTTTTGCCATACCACCTTTGTATTTAAGAAGGACTAAGATTACAGAACTATCAATATTTTATCTTGGTAAATATTATGTTCTGTTTTTCCTCACATACATTCTAAATATAGCAATCCAAAACAAGGGCAATACTCAGAGAGAGAGAGAGAGAGAAATTGGAATAATCAGATGATCAGAAGCACAGAGGAAGTTTTTAGAGATGACGTTAAAGTGAGAATAATCCATTCTTAAAAACGTCTCTATAGAAATATCATCAAATTGTATGTTGCCCAAGGAAAACAGGTTTTTAAAAAACCTGTTTAACTGTAAGCTCCACTTTCAGTCACTCAGAGGTTTAGTCAGCTTCTGAATCTATTTTCCTAGTCGTATATGCAGTGTGTTTTTGCTGTTGTTGAGCTTCTCAGGGTAACTAAGGTTTTTTAAAATATAAAAATTCAGTAAGCTAGATAAAGATGTCAGTGTTGCTATATTTAAAATCGATACTGTACTTGACTAAGGGAGGTGGCTGGCTGATCTGCGATAAAGTCACAGCAGAATGGAGTAGGTAGAAGAATCTCTAACTGTCTCCGACTGAGCTGCTGCTCAGAGTTTAGATGAGAGATAGGTAAGGCAGACTAAGAGATAATACAGTGTATGTGAAACTGCCTTTGAAGACTTCTTAGAAACTTATGTTCATACCGAACACTGCTGCTAGGTTACTACCTGCAGCTGACCAAAGGGAAAACAATCCCATCAGTTCCATGCAACTAAATTGGTTGCCAGTTCTTCCCTGAGCACAATTCAAAGTGCTGGTCCTTACCTTTAAAGTTTTGGGATTCAGATATCAAAAAGACCACATGAGCTTGCTGAGGTTGCTGCCAGAGGCGCTTCTCTGAATTCCCCTGCCTTCTGAAGTGAGGTGAGGGTGGTGGTGACAAGAGAAGGCCCTTGCAGCTGTGAAGCTCTCTGTATGGAATGCCCCCAGGTGTATTTTCAGTGTGGCTTTAATGTGAAAAGGCCGGGGGGGGGGGGCTGCTGCCTTTTATTCCTTGCTTGGGGTTTATTGTTCTACTGTGTTAATCCATATGCTTTTATTTTATTTATATGACTGTTGTGCCCTGCCCTGAGAGTTTTGTTAAATTTAAGGAGAGTATTAAAAAAATCAATACACAGAAAGAAGAGAAGTGAAAAAAGGAAGAGGTTCACAAGAGAGAGAGAGAGAGAGAGATCAGCAAGGAGGACTGGAACCAGGGCCTGAGGTTGTGTACATGGCCAGCTTAAAATGCAGCTAAGTTGCTCTTTTTCTCAATTCGGATCGAAGTTGGCTTGGGGGAAAATGCAGTATTTTGTATATTAAAAAATGACAAGAGAGATACAAAATAGATATGGATTGTGACTTCCCAAACCATCCGTGGAAGTCCACTTGATGCAGAGTAAATGGAAGTGTGTACATAGCTTTAGGAAAGCATGGGGTCCATAGTGATAAGAAGGTAAAGAGCTGGAGAAGAGAGAATGGCAGAGAAGAGAGGCGTGCATGGCCAAGAGCAGCCAAGCTGCAGAATGCTGAAATTCTTCTAATATTTGGACGCAGGCTTCAAGTACCCAAGTAGTAGTTTGCAAATTGAGTTTAAACAGTTACAACGGCCTATCAACATAATCATTAATTAGCTACGCAAATATTCAGACAAAGATAAGAGATGCAGGGAACATATGGCCCATCTAGCCTTTTGAGCAAATTACTCAAGGAATATGTAGCAGTTAAGGCTGCAATCATAAATTTAAGTTCAATATTATCATTCTTTTTGTTAAGAATATTGCACCCAACAGCAGCCAGTAAAGGGGCATGAGTGGGGCACCCTTGCTCTCCTGGCCTCCAAACACAGTGGGTCTCTGGTGTTTACCAAGAGGAAAATGGGAGGGGTAAGGGGGCAGGTAAGGGGTGGGGAACTTAGCCTGGTACAGCGCAAAGAGACAGAGTCACCCTGCCTCTGCCCCTGCCCCTGCCACATGCTGCACCGAGCCAAGATCCCTGCACCCCATCCCTCCCTTGCCCCTCCCTACCTGTAGCCGCCAAGTGTCTTCCGCCCCCTCAATATTTGTTTGAAGGGGGCTCAGCCCCCCCCCCCAAATATTGAGAGGACCTGGTGCAATGTTGCGGAAGGCTGCACCAGCCTGCGTGGTATCTGGAGACTGTGGGGACTGGCACAACCTAACAGAAGGCTGCGCTGGCCTGCACACGTCAAGAGATGTGTGACATCACCTGCCACATGCATGCCATGTCACCCACATGCCATGCGCTGCCCCCTTAAAAAAAATTGTTGGGGGCAGCCTAGTGTCACTGCAGTATATACATTAGTTATGAGCACCAGAGTTGTCTGTTTCTTCTTTGAGTATTGCTGCGTTGTACATAAGTAATTCCATATTGAACTGCACCAGCACAACATACAGTGGTACCTCAGGTTACAAACGCTTCAGGTTACAGACTCTGCTAACCCAGAAATAGTGCTTCAGGTTAAGAACTTTGCTTCAGGATGAGAACAAAAATTGGGCTCCCGCAGCGCGGCGGCAGCGGGAGGCCCCATTAGCTAAAGTGGTGCTTCAGGTTAAGAACAGTTTCAGGTTAAGTACGGACCTCCGGAACGAATTAAGCACTTAACCTGAGGTACCACTGTATTCTTAAATCAGCAGCAGGCAGTTAAAACACTGAATGGCCTGGAGAAAACTTTCAGTTCCTTTTCTTTTTATGAAAATGCATTTTGTTTTGTATGCACCAAGTGATGGATTTGAAAAAGAATTTAATTTCTTTCTCTAATATTATAGCTTTACAATAACTCCAGTCATTGGGGTGGAGTAAAGGTTCCTCATTAAAAAGTAGAACCTCTTTGATCTGTGTTAATTAAAGAGAGGCACATAGTAGATGAAATTACCGTACATTGAATATTTTGGCTTAATAACTACAGTATGTGGAAGCTCCCCACACAATTGAAAACCCTAAATTACTTGGGGAGCCTTCAAGAGTAGAAGAAGCTCCTTGCTTCAGACCTTTGCTCTCAATCTCACTGAGGGCTGTTAACGCAATAAAGAGGATCCTGTGGAGCAGGTGGTTCATGACAGCACACTCTTGCTCCTAGGGGACCAGATTCAATTAACCCAGCAGGCTAGTGGAACCTAGCGCAAGGGCTTCTACTAGTGCAATGGGGCTCCTCGCTCTCCGCCCCCAGTGCTGCCCCCAGATCCTTTCTGGAGGGTCAAGAGAGGGAGGAGGAGAGGAGAAATGCTTGCAGTGACTGAATGATCAGGAGAGTGTGACGTTGAATTCCTCCCCTTGCTTTTGGTTATGTGTGAGGAGCATGAGCTCCTGAATGGGGCTTTTGTCAGTCCTGAGCCTATAAGCACAAATCCTTTGCTTGATTGTTGTGAGTTATTGTGCCTAGGTGCCCAGCATAGGCGCCGACTCCATGGGGCTTGAGGGGGCTCGAGCCCCCTCAAAAAAATTTTTGGGGGGGCTCAGCCCCCCCAATAATCTCGGGCGCCGGGGGCGGGGGCTCCTGCCTCGCTGCTTCGCAGCACCACCGCCACTGCCAAGGCACTGCCGGGGGGAATTTCCTTCCTCCTGGCGGTTTCAGCCCCCGCGAGAACAGGGGAATCCTGACTGGCCACACCTCCCAGCCAGCCAATCGGCTGGCTGGGGGGGCGTGGCTTGCCCTATTTAGAGCCGGAGCCACTTTATTTGCATATTCATGAGCTTATTTATTATTCATGAGCTTTCCCGGGCCCCCCCAATATTTTTTATAAGTCCGCGTCCCTGGTGCCCACAGACAATGTTTTGTTAGGTAGCCAATTGAAATGAAACCTATATTGCTTATTGCTATAAGATTAGATAGTTGTATAACTTGATATTTATGATGGTATAAGAGAGCACTTCCTTTTCAATAGTTTTTTCTAATAGGATCACCTACAAAGATTGGTTAGGAGAACCACTACTGGATAGCAGGTAGTCACACATTACTATCGCTTTGCAAGCTTTATAGCACCAACTGTGCTGTCATAACTGTCACACATCTCTGTGACACGGACAGCATACAACACCTAACTGGTGGCTGCAATTCTTCCCCATCCTCCAGTGTGTTAAGTCTTTTGGTAAACTGGACTGGACTGCCAAAGGAGTTCAGTTTAAATATCAAAAATTATGCCAAACCTGTGAATGAAGAAAACAAGGAAGAAATGGTTTTAGTTTCTGCATATAGTGAATGCTTTGGAATGAAGATATGAAACTCGCCTCTGCAGGGAGAGAATTCACAGAGAGCACTTCTCCTGGGCTGCCACCACCTGAACATGTAAAAATGATGGAAGAGAATTCCTACTGCCGATCTTAACACAAGAGAGTTTCTGTAGGGAAGGGGGTGGTCTTTCAAATGCCATTTGGAGCTTTAAACACTAATGTGGGCATATTTAATTCAGCTGGAAAATGAATTGGCATCCAACACAACTGTTTTAAAGCAGGGGTTATATAAGTTTGAAATGGAGGCTTTCAAACCCCTGAGGCTTGTCTTTTAACCTCATGCTTTGTAAAGGTCTGAATATTTATAATGCTGGAATTGTCAGTGGTATTATTTTTTAAATTATATCTAAAGTGAATCTATAATTTTAAAAAAAGTTCATTTAAAAAGATAGTTGTGTGCTGGTTTTCTAATTTTTAATAAAAGGAATAATCTAAAGTTCTACTAGAATTTATTCCTTGTGATACTTCAGATGGATTTTGTTTTGTGAACTAATGATATAAAAAGCTGAATATAGTACCTTTTACAATAAATTTCCTTGAGCGCACTGGATAGCAATACGGCATAATGATTAGAGTGTTGTACTATGACCTGGGAGACTGGGGCTTGATCCCTACTCAGCCATGCAGCTCATTGGGTGACCCTGCTAAGAGATTTCTTACCACCTCACCATTTCTTAGCCTAACCCATCTCCCAGGGTTGTTGTGAAGATGAACTGGGGAGGAGGAGAATCATGTACACCACCTTGAGCTTCTTGGAAGAAAAGAGTGTGTGTGAGAGAGAGACTGATTATTTTTATGCTTTTTTGTGAAAATAGTTGGGTGGTAATTTGGACAAAATTACTTAAAATGCTGCATATAAATTAGACATTAAAAAAGATAGAGACAGAATAAGCAGCTCAGTTATAATATATGGTTATGCAGCTATGCCTTGAGGACAGTCCATCCATTTCATACCATATGTCCTTTTGAAAGATGAGCGCTGAGGATCAAGTAAAACAGCAGGAAATTGCATAATTTATAGTGCTGGTTTTCTTAAAACAAAAAACCCAGACAAACTGTTTTTAATAAGTTAAATCTCCCTCTTTTCTCCCTCTCCACTCCCCCCCCTCTATAGATTGGAGCACTGAAGGATTACTACCACTTCTACCATAGTAAAACGATTAAAAGGTCAGTTCTCTCAAGTAGAGGTACTCACAGCTTCATTTCAATGGAACCAAAGGTAAGATAACACAGCTAGCCAATCATATAAGATGCAAGCACTTACA